TGATTGCTACCAGTGATCTACATCGCCTATAATATATGGTAATAATATATATATATATATATATATATATATATATATATATATTTATATACAAAAAACAAAAAAAACAGGTTATTGTTCTATCAATTACCCTCACGTTCTTTGGGCACATATTCTGTTGTTAAATGATTCCTGTGATTTTCTTTTTAGGTTAAAATTTAAAATCATCCTTCATTTTCAGTGTTCTAAATTCTTTTAGGCAAGCTTCACTTTATATTGCTGTAACCGTTTTGCTGTATCAAGTAATAAAATGGTATTCTCTTGTATTGTTTGCAGAAATCAGTGAATTTATGTCATATCTCAGATCCAAAAGTGGTTTAAATTGTTCATTCTAATCAGCATACAAAAATCACTAACATTAACATTTCTATATTCTGCTTTGTTTACAGCATACTGGGCAAAAAAATAAAATCTGAAAATATTCACAATACATTTAGTAACAGATGATGGTATTCCAGAAATAGATTTGTATGTACATAAATGAAGCTGCTCTTGGTTTACACAATAAATGATAATAACAAAGGCCTGAGAATGAATTAGAATCCATTTTATGTCCCTTTTTTGTCTGAAATTTCCAATAATATAATTTGTGGAGGTGAGTGACGTGCTTTAAACCACAGCATATCTCACTCACTAGGACTAAAATGTCACTTCTGTTCAACTCCATTAAAAACATTATTATTGAAACAATCCTAAACCTACAGTATATTCTTCAGAGAGTAGACAGGAAAGGTATCTGCAGGATATAAGTTGTGGATTATTTCATTAATAATGCACGGTGGTTTAACCACTTCATCCCAAGGCCATTCTGACATTACTGTCATACATGTAAAAATCAGCTTTTTTTTGCTAGAAAATTACTTAGACCCCCCAAACAGTATATATATACATATATATATATATATATATATATATATAGTTTTTAAGCAGAGGCCCTAGAGAATAAAATGGTAGGTGTTGCAATTTTTCATGCCATATGGTATTTGCACAGCGGTTTTTCAAATGCAGCTTCTTTGGAAAAATATACACTATAGTGAATTTTAATGCACAAAACACAATATAATACCCAATTGTTTGGAAAGCTATAAAAGATGACGTTACACCATGTACATAGATACCTAACATGTCACACTTTAAACTTGCATATGCTCGTGGGAACAGCACCAAACTACGGTACTTCAAAATCTCCATAGGTGATGCTTTCTAAACCTTTACAGATTACCAGTTTAGAGTTACACAGGAGGTGTGGTGCAAACATCATTTAAATATGTGTGCGCAAACTACATATGCATATGCCTTTGCGTGTGAGCATAGAGGGACAGGGGTGCTTTAACCAGTTCTGACAGCCCTATAGCAGAAGTACTGCTACAGGGTGGCACGGGTGCACAAAATCATATATATATATATATATGTGTGTGTGAATTTGCAGTTCCGGGTAAGGGGGCACGCACTCCCTACCCGCACCGCCATTTGGGCCTTGGCTGTCAATCACTGGGTTCCAGTGCTTACTCACCAGCACCCAGTGATCGCCCAGTATTTCCGACGAGGGAGAGATCTGTGTAGAAACAACACAGATCTCTCCCCTGTCAACTCCTGTACACTGCTTTGTATGGCTCTGCATAGAGGAGCCATACAAAACAGTGTGCTTCCAGTGAAGCACACAAACAGCCCAAGTAGTGAAACAACACACAGTTAACCCTTTGATTGCCCCAGACGTTAACCCCTTCCTGCCCACTGCCATCAGCACAGTGTCAGTACTGATCACTGTATTGGTGTCACTGGGGATGTAAGTCACACCAAGTCAGTTCCCCCCAGTGTCAGAATCCCCTCCGCAGTCCATCTATGAGTCACTGATTGCTGCCATTACTAGTAAAAAAAAATTCCAGTATATATACGGCCATTTGTAAACGCTATAACTTTCATGCAAACCATTAAATTTACACGTATTGGGATTTTTTTTAATGTTTTATAGCAAAAAGTCAAAAATATTGTTTTTTTCTCAAAATTGTCAGTCTCTTTTTGTTTATAGCACAAAAAATGAAAATGCATAGGAGATCAAATACCTCTGAAAGAAAGCTCTATTTGTGGGAAAAAAAGGACATAAATTTCATTTGAGTGCAGCATTGCATGACCGCGCAATTGTCAGCTAAAGTAACGCAGCGCTGTATCGCAAAAAAAGGCCTGGTCATATCAATTATCATCTCTAAATGCAATTTAGACTTGTCTCAGACCATGCCATTTGTGATTTCTTTCCAGCAAGAAGTAAAATAGTGTAACCTGGCTGTAATAACTGGTCATCTCATAACTGAACAATCATATTCATGTTTTTTTCATTTATACTTGGCAAGTTGTAATTTTCATTAATCTTAAGCCCTGGTTCATTCCGGTGTCACTTGTCATATGATTTGACGTTTTTAAATCGCATGACAAGTCACACCCTATTGTTAGCAATGGAATCATTCAAATCGGTGCGACTCCAAACTTGCAGTGCCACTCTGATTTGACATAAAGGTTTCTGCACTATTTTTTGTATTTTTAGGTGTGACTTGCGTAGACATCTGTACATCAAGTCGCACCTAAAGTTGCACTGACATGCTGCTTTAAAATCATGCGACTTCAGGTGAAGTTGAATGATTTCAAAGTTGGATTTAGCGTGAAACAACAGTAAAGCAGTAATAAACCCAAAAGCAAACATTTATTAAATTGCAACTTACCAATTCCTAAATGTGATGTCTGCATTAGTTTTCTTTTTTTTTTTCTTCTTCTATTTTCATCTGGTGATTGAACCAGTGATGGTGATCAAAAGAACAAGCTCTCTTACAGATGTATAATTTTACAGGGTTGGGACTATGGTGCTAACCATTCAACACTGGCAGGGGTGCTAACAATAATCAGCTTTTATTTATGTATGTAAAACCTTTATCTCAAAAGGAAAAAAAACTGTTGCTGTAAGTGATTGTAAAGTGCTAGCTAGAGTTTGGCTTAATTCTGTTAGTATATTTAAATCTGCTAGTACATTTTACATTAACCCCCCAAACCAGCAATGCTCCTCTCTGCTGTGCCCCCTGTGCTCCTTCAATCAAGGCTCCATGCAGCTACTTATGATTTTTTTTGTTCTGCCCTAGAAGCAAATAGTGTTATCCTACGTGTCCATGCAGACTATTGCAGACTAGAAGTGTTTTAGAGCCTTCAGCTTCTAGAAGCAGAACAAATGGCTATTTTTAGTTTTTGGGAGCAATTTGCTAACAGAAAAAAAAATGCTGAACACTTCTAAATGCTCCTAAACCCTTCCAAATGCTTCTAACTGCTGCTAAGAGCCAGTTTCTAGCCTGGTTTTTATTCCTAGTGGTGGTCGCTGGCATCCTTGAATAGCTGTCAAGGAACGGGCTAACAAGCTGGCCACCGCATCCTCACCAGGTAATGACTCCTTAGATGTCTCAGGCTTGGGGACAAGGTGCTTTGAGGATGTTGAGGGTATGCAGTCTTGTATGGTTTTGGAGGGGTGCTCGCTTACCTCCCCCCCCCACCCCCCCTCCTGGCCCTCCGGGCTGCATGCTCAGATAAGGGTCTGGCATGGTTTTATGTGGGGGCCCACATAATTTTTTTTTTATTTTTGGCATGGGATTCCCTTCAAAATCCCTTATTCACATGGGGGCCCCTTTTTAATCAGATTCTGATAAGCCCCTGTCCACAGTCCCCAACAACCACTGCCAAGGGTTGTGGGAAAGAAGCCCCTGTCCTCTTCAACATGGGGACAGAGTGCTTTTGGGGGGGTAGTCCCCCTACCCCAAAGTTCCCCTCCATGTTGAGGGCATGTGGTCTTGTATGGTTCAGGAGGGGGGGGCACTCACTTATCCCCCCTTTTCTGGTTTGCCAGGCTGCATACATAAGGGTTTAGTATGGATTTTGGGGGGACCCCACAGTGTTTTTTTTTTTAATTCTGGTGTTGGGCTCCCCTTGAAACCCATGCCAGACCAAAGGGGTCCAGTATGGATTGAGGGGAGACCCCCATGCTGTTTTTTTTTCTCAGATTTTTATTGCCAGCAGGGAACCCAGTGACAGCTGGTGAGTCATCGGTTGTTAAGGACACGGGTGGCCAACTTGCCGCCTGCTCCTTAACAACCAGCTATACAACGCTAAACGCTGGCAAAATGCCGACACAAAAATAGAAAAATGCTGGAAAAAAATGCTCATATGTGCGTTTTTTTATCCAGGATTTTTCTGGCTTTTCTTCAGTTCCTAATGTGCATGAAGCCTATTCCAGGAAACATGTTACTGGCCAGATCACCATCAGAGGGAAAAAAGCCTAAAAAAAACTATTGAAGCCACCACATCTAATGATTGGTAAGCTAAAATATATTATAATTTTTGATATTTTAATACCTCTTTAAGTTAACTGCACTAAAACACAGTATAAGAATCAACAACTTTTATGCTTCTTTGATTTTTTTCTATGATTTTGATATTGGTTTAATACCTCTTTAAGGTTACACTGTCACTCTTGCATTTTGCTTTTCTAAACACAGTGATCTGTGAAGTATAAACAACTTTTATGCTTCTTTGATCACTTTTTTCTATGTTAGATGTTCCAGCTTTAACCACGGTTAGGCACATTTATATGTGTTTACACAGGTTTACATGCTTTTAGCTGTGTTTTGAATGTATAAACGGATCCTGGACACACAGGATTATATTTTCTTCAAACACAGTTAAATCGAACACTCCCAAATGCAGCCATTGAAAAAATGATTACATGCATTTAAACATGTCCTGTAAATGCATATAAATGCAAGTTTTACAGTGCCAATGTGAATGAGGTCTAAAATGTGTTAGCAAAACTGTTAGCTTCTAATTTGGGTTAACAAAAATTGTTAGTAATGAACGTTTGTGTATTTTTAACCTTACATTGAGAGATATTTTGTAACATTATATATTATATTTTCATAGACATTTCTACAATGATGGATGGAGGCAATGTTACATTAGTGACAGAATTTATTCTACTGGGGATACCACTTACCTATGACTTTCAGGTCTTACTGTTTGTGATCCTTTCCATCTGCTATGCAATTACTTTAGTAGGTAATGCTACAATAATTGTAGTTAGCCTGAGCGATGCCCAACTACACACACCAATGTACTTCTTCCTCAGCAATCTAGCATTCCTTGACATTAGTTTTACATCTGCTATTGTCCCTAAAGTACTTTTTAATTTAATCAGTGGGAGCAAAGCCATATCTTATTATGGGTGTCTTGCTCAATCGTATATCTATTTCCTATTGGGCACCACTGAGTTTTTGCTTCTGGCTATGATGTCTTTTGATCGCTATGTTGCTATTTGTCATCCTTTGCGCTATGGCACTATCATGAAACCAAAACTTTGCCTGAAGATGATTTTTTGTTCTTGGTTGGGAGGCTTTATGGACACCATTGCTCAGACTATCCTTACATTTCGCTTGCCTTTTTGTGGTTCCAATGTTATTAACCACTACTTCTGTGATGTTGCGCCTTTGCTTAAATTGGCCTGTGGAGATACACATATTATCAGTATGTTAGACTTTATACTAGCTTCCTCTTTGGTCTTGGGATCATTGTTCTTCTCTTTGGTCTCATATGGTTGCATTATTTCTGCTATAGTGAAAATTTCATCAGCTTTTGGACGAAGGAAGACATTCTCTACTTGTGCATCCCACCTCACTGTAGTCTTCATTGTCTATGGCAGCTGTATCTTCATGTGTGTCCGCCCCTCTAAAAATTCCAAGGTGGATTCCACAAAAATTGTTGCATTACTGAACAGCATAGTAACACCACTCCTTAATCCCTTTATCTATAGCTTTAGGAACAAGATCTTTAAAGAAGCACTTAAACGCACAATAATAATAAAACCCACTTCCAGAGCCAAAAGTTTTAAACCATCTTAAAAATATAGGAGCAGGTAAATTAAATTACATACATTAAATAAGGGTGGTAACCAGGGGCGGACTGACAACTAATGGGGCCCCCGGGCAAAAGGGGATCATGGGGCCCCTGTGTTCTTGCCCAAACTCAAAAAATCCTATGAAAAAGGTACCAGGGGCATCTCATGGGGCCCCCTACTGACCCCAGGCCCTCGGGCAGTGCCCGAGTTTCCAAATGGTCAGTCCGCCCCTGGGTGGTACTTACAAGACCAACATAAAGCTGACCACACACATTACAATCTAAGTGTACAAATCTCAATCTCTGTGGAATCTCCTTTAGATTTACCAAAAATGATGTAGTGTGAGGGCTTACCTAAACAATCCAGGCATTTTGGCTACACGTCAACTAATCCTGATTTTGATTGTTTTCATTGAATCAAACACTGTTTTCTAACTGAAAATGATCTTAGACTAAAATATGAATATTTAAATATTTCCTTTACATGTCACCTCTTAGTTTGAAGGATTAAATTTATGCTAATTGTATGTTCTTTGTTATAAATCTAAAATGCATTCCCCATTGTTTGAAAATTCATCTGCTAAGAATGAAAGAAAAACCGAAAGACATTTTATTCAGATTAATTCATTTTTGGTTAAGATCGTTTCCACCTTACATACTGTCAGATTGAAATGTGATCATCTTTAGAATTACTTGTAATGTGTGATGATTGGAGTACATACATTGGTATCTTCTTTCTTTAAAATTCAAAGCTTTTAAGAATGACACCAGCCCTCTATGGACCCCCCTGCACCTATAAGCAAAGAAGAGAAGACTGCAAGCCATGCTTGCATCAAACATCATCTGCTTAAAGTAATATTAAACCTACAACAGTAAAATCAGTCTGTATATGCAGTAAAGCATGCTTGTTATACTCACTGTGGAAACTAAGGGGTTAATCGTCCACATTGTGAAAAATGGCTGTTTGATCCTGACTTTTCTGATCCTCCCCTTCTTCTACTGTCTCCAATCCATCTGCTGATAGAACAGAGCTCTAGGAGTCACTCTGCACATACTCAGTTCAGTGTGTATGGCTAGAGAGGTTTTTTCTTTTCTTTGGAAGGGTGTATGTGATCAGCACAGGGCTGATTAGCACTGTCCAGACAGAGGGTCAAGGGTCATGCAGCCTCATAGGACAGTCAGAGGAGAATGAAAACTCCTCCTACAAGCTTTAACCAGTACTCAGCTGGACACTGATAGAAGTCACAAGACTGCTATAAACTGCTGATGAGAAAAAGTATTTAACGGTTAATATTTACTAAAGTAATAGCATTTTCATGTTCTGTGTACTGTGGGAGATCAGATACAGTGAATGCAGGGTCTTGGGTTTTGGGTTTAGTAATACTTTAAGGCCTGGTCCACATCAATGCATCAATGCAGTGTGTGTTTTGTCTGTTTTGCAGTGCTTTTTTTCACTGCATTTTGCATTTTTGCACTCCCTTTTTTTTGCGTGTTTTGTGTTTTTTTTTTTTTTATTTTGTTTTTGTTTTTTGGTAAAGGGGAAATGTTGTTGCTGGGCAGAATAAAAATACAAAACACTGCAAAACCACACTACATGCATTTCAGCAGCGTCTCCATTGAATTCTACTGTAGCAAAAACACTGCTTAAAAAAGTCCCTGACCCTTATCAAAAACACAGCAGCTCAAAAAAGCATAGATATGAACATGTCCTTAGGAAACCATGTTATATGGACTGTAGTGCGTTTCTGCAAAAAGCAAAAAAAAAAAAACACTGGTGTGAACTAGGCCTTATGCTTTGTTGCCAATGTTGTCAGAAAGATAGGCTATATTATCATGGTTAAAGTGTATGTCCAAAAGCTTTTTTTTTAGTAGAGTAAGCAGCATTAGAACCTTTGACAGCTTTTTTCTGCTGTCAGTACCCCTGTTGTAGATATGCCTTCACTTTCTATCTGTCAAAACTGTTGTCACCAGAACTGTAAGTGAGGGAAAGTCTCTCCAACAAAGTTTCAGCAGCAAAACTCTTTCCCAGTCTATCCCAAATTAAAAAAAGGTTTTGGCTGGAGATTTGCTTGATATTTCTACCAAGAATTTTTGCACTAAGATCGGCCACAAATGAGTCGAAAACCGAATATTCTTTTGATCATAAAAAGTAAAATAAAGTAGGATTGTGCCATAATTTGTTTTGTTTTTCGAAAACAAATCCAGCATGTTGGATCAGGCACTTTTGAGTGCGGCATGAAAATCAAGTGTCGCAGCTGGCACACTAATGATGCAAAGAACAAACATTCTGATCATCAGCAAGAATTTTTGTTTTCAACTCGTCTATGGGCTGCTTATGAAACCAAATCCAATCACTTTTTGAAAACAAACATTACACTTAGGGTTAAGGGTGAAACAACTAAAAAGAAATGTATCAAGCGTGGTGTTAAAGTGTATAAAAATACTAACAATTAACTTTTATTGAATAATTAAAACAGTGCAGCGCTTAAGAAATCAAAACTAGAATGAATAAAATTCACATAAAATATTGAAAGATTCTTATAAATAGTCTATGTGGTATTTATCGTGCCAGGTGACTGGTAACAATCAATGGTGGTGTTCCATGGAAAATAGCAGAAATGCGCACTCACCAGAGGGTAAATGAATATAAGCGTTGTATATCATATGCAGAGGAATCCTCATTAGGAAAAAGGGTCTGGTCAGAATGTGTGATCCTCCCTCAGGATTGCATTCAGAACTTGCCCAAAGATGAAATGAGTCAGATCTAGGTAACCAGAGGTCTCCTAATAGGGGATGAATGGAAGGTGCTGCCTGTTTACAAGGGGTCTTCCTCCTCTTGGTATGGTGCCTGGATCGTGGTATGGGCTCTGCAAATAAATACTCCTTAGTGGCAGCCACTCCGCTCACAGCTTCTCCGCTTCTTCTCCTCCTTCCCTGGCTGCCTCCAGTCTCCTCATACCACATAGACTATTTATAAGAATTTTCGATATTTTATGTGAATTTTATTCATTCTAGCTTTGATTTCTTAAGCGCTGCACTGTTTTAATTATTCTGTTTATAAGCACACATTGGTTACCTTGCGTGCATAGCTGCTTTTTGGTTAGCGTTCACTTTTATTATTATTATTAACTTTTATTATTTGGATGCTTTTTTACTGTTTAAAAACTATTGAAAGTGTTGTCATATCTATTCAATAAGTGCAAAAATTACTTGTTGATCCTTCCAGAAATTATATCCACTAATAATTTTCTGTGCTTTTTGCTTGGCTGACTACTAACATGTTGCTTATTCCCAAATTGTGAACTACAGAACACTTGCCCCATGTTATGAGAAAAGGTTGGAAGTAGGCGATCTGCAGTTTTAAAATACTTATTTTCCTTGAGTGAGAATGCTGCTTCTCCATAGATATAGTACAGTGAGCGAGCTTTGTCACCCTTGACAGGAAGTGCGTTACTGGAATACCAAGTGAAATGAATGGAAAAAAAAAAAAAGAGTCTGAAAAAAGAAATTCATACAACCTCCACTTATAAGGAAGCTCGAATATATATGAATGTTGGTTATTGATGTTAGATATATTTAAAGGCATTGTACACATTCAAATGTTTTTGTTGTTTAACTAGGTGCATTCCTCCAAATGGAAGACTGGGGTCACGCACTGGTGATGTTAACCATAGTAGAGGGCTTCTATGACTGAGACCTATCCAGATGAAACACATACAAGGGGCATGTCTGATGGAAAGAGACTGAGTTGAAGCTGATATCTGATTCATAGTTCTATGTTTAATATCACCAGTGTGCTGCCCCAGACTACTATTTGAAGGTTTGCCTAGAACAAGACATGTTCTGAAGGGGAACTGACCATGATTTTGAGGGACTGTCCCTATTGGGAACAAAGACCCTCTGTCCCTCATTTCTCCTCATTTGTCCCTCATTTTGGTCTGATCTCTATAGTTGAATATAAAATGCACTTTTTATTTTCAAAAAGTGTTTTCCCAGTGCGAAACCTTTCATCCAATTTCTAAGTTGCTGCATTTGTAAGTTTCAAAAGCCAGTAAAAAAAGATATAGTAGTGGTAAAAAAATCACTTGTGGGTTTAACTAATTTTTTTTATATTTCTCCATTAAAGGGGCGTGGCAGGGTGTGTGTCAAATGCCTACATACTAATAGGTGTCCCTTTTTCCAATCTGAAAAAGTTGGGAGGTATAGTTGCTGGAGCCGAAGGGAGGTACACATGGAAGCTAGAGGTGCTACAAGTATAAGTTATTGGTGTAGTTAAATTACTGTGTGTAGTTGTTTGCCTTACTTTGAAGTGATGGGCTCACATGCTGTGGCTAATTGATTCCCCTATGTCCATGCAATAATTCACCTAACTTGTCCTTCTTCAACGGAGGGACAAACAACGTCTTGTTCCGGTCACATTCCATGCCTCACTATCACAAAGGTTTGAGTGCTAATGTGATGAAAACAAACACATCTCTCTTCCAGCATGGTAAACTTTGTAAATTAGCTCTCACCTGCAGTACACTAGATTCAGAGACCCAGAGATTGCGGGATATTTAGTTTCTTCACAGGAAGTGTCAGTTCTTAGACTATAGACAGTGGTCATGCATAAACTTGTGCAGTGTCTTCCCACATGCCTCATTTTTCAAACAAAGAGAAATTTCTAACACTGGAAGGTGATAATTTAGTCTGTATAGACTGTGTGCACACGCATCAAGTGCCCCAAAAGAACTATAAAATCAGCGCACATCTTATGCAGCTGAAAAACACAAGGTGCAGGTAGGAAGGTTTAAAAAGCCTTTAAACTATTTAGTGGCCATCTGGATTTTTATTTTTCATTATCAAAGTTTTATTGAGGTTTTTGCAAGAAACTATGACAAAGGTAACACTCAATATATAGGATAGCACATAGCGTGAAAAATACAAGCAATCCAGACAGTGGAACTTTTAAAAAGACAATGTAAGAGCTTTTCTCAGACACTATATTGCCAAAAGTATAGGGGCA